GGTCCCAAAGACAAGAGCTAGGCTATACACAGAGGCTCTAACGGACAACTGCAGTGTCCAGGAACAGATAAGCACAGGGACACCGGATAGAGAAGAGACAGTAGGAAGCAATGCGTCAATGGCAGGAACTAATTCACATCAGAGGATGCTAAGGGAAGTACAGTGGGAGGACGAAAGGGAGAGGGCAGCTTTTGTATATGGGCTCTATGAAGTAGATAGGGAAACTTACGAGGCAGGGAAACAGGAGGAAAAAAGAACGATTAAAAGCATCATGAAAGCAATAGGAGAGGACGACATGACCCAGCTGACAAATTTTCGGAGAATTGGGTGGTTTGCGAGAGGAAAAAAGCATCCAGTCAAAGTGATTTTCAAGGCAGAGTTGGCTTGAAATCGGATCCTGCAGGAGAAAGTGCACCTAAGGGACAAACTGGAGTTCGGAGTGTGTACCTCGACCAAGACAGAACACAAGAAGACAGGATGATACTGAAAGAGAGGGTGCAATGTTGCAAGGAGGAATGGGAGGCAAGGAAGGTGGAGATCTGGGGAAATCAGGCCCAAGTGGTGGAAGAATAAACACAACCCCCTCCAGTACCACCCACAGAAGGAACCCAACCATGGCAGTCCCAAACCAATCAAACAACTTAACCCAAAACCCACTCACTGTACCCTCTGCCCCCATCCCCCTCAGCACAAACCCCACCCCCACAGAAACCCACACATCCCCTCAGCTCAAACCCCACCCCCACAGAAACACACAGTAACCCACACAATGTACCCTCTCCCCCCATCCCCCTCACCACAAACCCCAGCCCCACAGTAACTCACAGCAACCCACACACTGTACCCTTTACAACCCCCACAACTGTAACCCCCCATAGGCCCTCTCCCCTATCCCCCTCACCACAACCCCCTCCACTGTAACCCCCCCATAGGCCCTTGCCCCCATCCCCCTCACCACAACCCCCACCCTCACTGAAACCCCCTATAGGCCCCTGCTGAAACAGCTTAGAGAAAAATGACAGTACAGACATAACATCAGGAACTTCTGCATCAGGCACAGACAAGGGGCCTGGAGGGAGCATAGATGCTATACTGCATACAAGGGCCCTATCAGACCCACATAGGGCCAAGGCAAAGATGAGCACACTAGGAAAAAATGAGAGGTCTGAAGACAAGAGGCTATGACATATGCAGAGACTCTAACAGACACCTGCAGGGGCCAGGAACAGCTGAGCAGGAAAGACAGTCCACTGAGCATAGGGGCCTCAGCCAGGGAAGGGCTTGAAGGAAGGAACACTCCAATGGAAGGAACTAAAACACCTCAGAGGATGCACTGGGAGATGCAGTGAGAGGACAAAAGGGCGAGATCAGTTTTTGTCTACAGGCTCCAGGAAGTTGAATGAGAAACTTATGATGAAATGAAACAGGAAAAATAAAAAGTGATTGAAGGTATCATGAAAGCAATAGGTGAGGGCGACATGACCCAGGTGGCAAATTTTTGGAGAATTGGGTGGTTTGCAAGGGGACGGAAACGGTCTCTCAAAGTAATTTTCAAGGCAGAATCAACTCGAACCATGATTCTGCAGGAGAAAGCATGACCGAGAGACAAACAGGAGTACCAGAGTGTGTACCTCAATCGAGACAGAGCACAAGAGGAAAGGTTGATACTGAAAGAGAGAGTACAAAAACGAAAGGAGAGGAAATGACAAAGATGAGCAGAAGAACCCAGATGAAGTGGAAGGGCAAACACGCCCTCCAGAAACACCCACAGAAAGACTCCAACTGCGACAACCCCAAGGCAACTGAGCAATCTAAACTGACACTTACACACTGATCCCTCTGCCCCCACCCCCAACACCACAAACCCCACCCATACAGCAACCCCCTATGGGAACTCTGCCCCTACCCCCACTGCAACCCCCCATAGGCCTCTGCCAGGGCTCCTGATCCCCCAACCCCAATCTTCTCCCAGGATCACAGTATTAGAAAAGAAGTTGAAGGTTTGTCACACGAACGCAGATGGAATAACAAAAAATATGAGGAGTGGCATGAAAGAATCAATGAGAAGTCCCCAGACATCATAGCAGTCACAGAAATGAAACTCACTGAGACAAAAACAGATGCAATCTTCCCACCAGGATATCAGACCCTGAGGAAAGATAAAAGGAGCAGAGGGGGAGGAAGGGTTGCACTGCTCATAAAAGACCGATGGAGATTTGAAGAAATGGAAGGCATGGACGAGATTGGAGGAAGGGACTACATAGTAGGTACACTTCAGTCTGGGAAACATAAGGTAGTCATTGCAGTGATGTATAATCAACCACAGAACTGCAGGAGGTGAAGAGAGGAATATGAAGAGTGGCAGAGCAGTGGTGGGCACACTGGCCGAGGTGGCAAGAAGAGCTCACTCGAGCAGAGCAAAGTTACTAGTTATGGGTGATTTCAATCACAGGGAGATCAACTGGGAAAACCTGGAGCCACACAGGGGTCCCGAAACGTAGAGAGCCAAGATAATGGATGTGGTGCTGGAAAACCTTATGCATCAACATGTTAAGGGCACAACCAGAGAGAGAGGAGAGGATGAACCAGCAAGACTAGACCTTGTGTTCACCCTGAGCAGTTCAGACATTGAGGACATCACGTATGAGAGGCCCCTTGGAGCTAGTGATCACATGGTTCTGTGTTTTGAATACATAGTAGAATTGCAAGTATGTAGAGAGGGTAACAGGAGTTGGATGGGAAAAGCTAAACTATGACAAGGGGGACTACACAGGCATGAGGAACTTCCTGCAGGAGGTTCAGTGGGACAGAGAATTGACAGGAAAGTCAGTAAATGAAATGATGGAGTATGTAACAACAAAATGCAGGGAGGCAGAGGAAAGGTTTGTTCCCAAGGGCAATAGAAATAATGGGAAGACCAAAGCGAGTCCTTGGTTTACCCGAAGGTATAGGGAGGCAAAAACTAAGTGCAACAGTGAATGGAAAGATACAGGAGGCAAAGGACCCAGGAAAATAGAGAGACTAGTTGAAGAGCCAGAAACGAATATGCACGGATAAGGAGGGAGGCCCAGCGACAGTACGAAAATGACATAGCATCGAAAGCCAAGTCTGACCCAAAACTGCTGTATAGCCACATTGGGAGGAAGACAACAGTCAAAGACCAGGTGATCAGGCTGAGGAAAGAAGGTGGGGAACTCACCAGAAGCGATCAAGTAGTATGTGAGGAGCTCAACAAGAGATTTAAGGAAGTATTTACAGTGGAGACAGGAAGGCCTCTGGGTGGACAGAACAGAGGGGGATGCCGACAAAGAATATACCAACAAGTGTTAGATGACATTCACACAACTGAGGAGGAGGTGAAGAGGCTGCTAAGGGACCATAATACCTCAAAGGCAATGGGACCAGACAACATCTCCCTGTGGGTCCTTAGAGAGGGAGCAGAAATGCTGTGGGTGCCACTAACCACAATCTTGAACACATCCCTTGAAACTGGGCAACTACCTGAGGTATGGAAGATGGCAAATGTAGTACCCATATTTAAAAAAAGGAGACAGAAAAGAGGCACTGAACTATAGACCAGTGTTACTGACTTGCATAGTATGCAAAGTAATGGAGAAGATTATCAGGAGGAGAGTGGTGGAGCACCTGGAATGGAACGAGTATAAACACCAAGCAGCACGGATTTATGGAAGGTAAATCCCGAGTCACAAACCTACTGGAGTTTTATGATAAAGTAACAGAAATAAGACACGAGAGGGGTGGGTTGATTGTATCCTCTTGGACTGCAAGAAGGCCTTCGACAGTTTCTCACAGGAGATTGGTGCAGAAGCTAGAGGATCAGGCACGTATAACAGGAAGGACGCTGCAGTGGATCAGAGAATACCTGACAGGGAGGCAACAGCGAGTCATGGTACGTGATGAGGTATCACAGTGGGCACCTGTGACGAGCGGGGTCCCACAGGGGTCGGTCCTAGGACCAGTGCTATTTCTGGTATATGTGAATGACACGATGGAAGGATTAGACTCAGAAGTGTCCCTGTTCACAGATGATGTGAAATTAATGAGGAGAATTAAATCAGATGAGGAGCAGGTAGGACTTCAGAGAGACCTGGACAGGCTGGACACCTGATCCAGCAACTGGCTTCTCGAATTTAACCCTGCCAAATGCAAAGTCATGAAGACTGGGGAAGGGCAAAGAAGACTGCAGACGGAGTATAGGCTAGGTGGCCAAAGACTGCAAACCTCGCTCAAGGAGAAAGATCCTGGGGTGAGTTTAACACCAAGCACATCTCCGAAAGTACACATCAACCAAATAACTGCTGCAGCATATGGGCACCTGGCAAACCTGAGAATAGCGTTTCAATACCTTAGTAAGGAATCGTTCAAGACACTGTACACCGTGTACGTCAGGCCCATACTGGAGTATGCAGCACCTGTTTGGAACCCATACTTGATAAAACATGTCAGGAAATTAGAAAAAGTGGAAAGGTTTGTGACAAGGTTAGTTCCAGAGCTAAAGGGAATGTCCTATGAAGAAAGGTTAAGGGAAATCGGCCTAACGACACTGGAGGACAGGAGGGTTAGTGGAGACATGATAACAGCATACAAAATACTGCATGGAATAGACAAGGTGGACAGAGACAGGATGTTCCAGAGAGGGGACACAGAAACAAGGGGCCACAATTGGAAATTGAAGACCCAGATGAGTCAAAGGGATGTAAGGAAGTATTTCTTCAGTCATAAAGTAGTCAGGAAGTGGAATATCCTAACAAGTGAGGTAGTGGAGGCAGGAACCATACATAGCTTTAAGATGAGATATGATAAAGCTCATGGAGCAGGGAGAGAGAGGACCTAGTAGCACTCAGTGAAGAGGTGGGGCCAGGAGCTGAGTCTCGACCCCTGCAACCACAATTAGGTGAGTACACACACACACACATCACACTGTATTGTATTATATTGTATATACTGTACAATATACATTTATTTTCTCTTGTATTCAGGTGACTGTTGCAGACAGGGCAGTCATCACTACAACTGATGCCGAACGAGAATGTGTAACACCAGAAGGGTTACAAGATGCTATCAACAAAATTGTCTCTGCCTTCTCAAAAGGTAGATCTTTTGTACGACCATCAGGGACAGAGGATATTGTTCGCATTTATGCAGAAGCTTCGACTCAGGAGGAAGCAGATAATTTAGCAATTCAGGTTGCTTGTGCTGTGTATGAGCTAGCAGGTGGTATTGGAGACAGACCTAAAGCTTCTATGTTACTATAATATTTTGTGAAATATATAATTTTATCCTTTCTGATGGCACAGTGACAGTGCAATTTGTCTTTGCACCTGCATAATGGGAAATGTAACAGTGGTGTATTATGGATACTTGAAACTTCATTGGTAGGCTATCTTATTTTGGTTCCATTCAGTACCAGTAGCTATAAAATTCAGAAAAACAGAGTAGCCTAAACCAGTTCATTCCTTTGTGCACAATGAAGAAATTACAGAATTATGCCTAAGAAAAATATAAGTACATGCTGTATATGACTCATGCAGTACATCCATATGTGCCTTGTGAAAATGATTTAGTTTGCAGGACAACCCAAATTAAATCTGTGCATTTTAGGTGAAGGCTTTGTGATATTTTTATAATTGTTTAATAATGTAATGTTTTGTTATATATAAATAAATATTTCAACACTTAAATATGTATTCCTACTTGTATTCCTACTTGTGCAATGGTGCAGCTTAAGACCTGTTACAGCCTGATACCCCCTTGAGGACCAGTTGTAAAACGCTATGCAATTAAAGTGCTCTGTAAATATCACAACTGCTAATACTATAGTAAGAGGGCTATGGGCTTATCTGCAATCTATTATTTGCCAGTAGGTCATAGAATGCAATTAATTTAGTACTACAAAACAATAAATGAGGACTTAAGAGTGGTAGGACTAGATCGACCATGGGTAATAAGTCACAGAATTTGCATTAGTGTGTGTTGAAGAGAAGTACAGAAATTCTGAGTGTGAAAGGCACTGAAGGAATGACTGAAAAGAATTATTTTTTATTAACACATCGGCCGTTTCCTACCAACGCAGGGTGGCCTGAAAGAGAGAAACTTTCATCATCACTCACTCCATCACCGTTTTGCCAGAGGCATGCTTACACTACAGTTATAAAACTGCAACATTAACACCCCTCCTTCAGAGTGCCAGCACTGTATTTCCCATCTCCAGGAATCAAGTCCAGCCTGCCGGTTTCCCTGAATCCCTTCATAAATGTTACCTTGCTTACACTCCAACAGCACGTCAACTCCTAAAATCCATTTGTCTCCATTCGCTCCTATGTAACACACTTGCGAACGCTTGCTGGAAGTCAAAGCTGAAAAGAAATGGGGCAATATTAAAAGATATTGGAGTGTCTGTGTGACCTGCCAATATTTGTGGTGTCAACTAAGTATCCTTCCATGTGATGACCATCAATGAGTGTTGACCAGTGTATAGTGTGAGCAGTTTCCTACGATTTATCCCTTCAAGGGATGAAATGGTTCAAGGAATTACATTCCTTACCATTGCTTGGCATTTTATGATCCCTACAGGCAGGACCAGATTAAAGAATGGGGTACCTTGGTAACTGTCTAGGCACTCATCTATAAGGAGTGCCAAAAGACATGAAAGCCAGAAAAAAATCCTTGAAAATACACTGGTAAAATGTTGTTACATTTCAATGCATGAAAATTAAGAAGTACACAATTTATATTTAATTACGCATAATGAAAAATAAGTTTCATATCCTTCTATTGCTGTGTGACCCTTGTGGGTTTAGTGCTTGGTTTTTATTATAATTATTATAGAAGCATTGAACAAATATTTGAAAAGACTGTCAAAACTGGTTTGTAAGTGTACCAAAATGTAAGCCTGCCCAGAGCATCCCAGTTTCTCAGCACTCTGTGACCCTAGTGGGTTTAGCTTGGTTTTGATTATAATAAATCCCAGTTTCTCAGTTTAGCACTTCCTGGCATTTACCTGGAGAGAGTTCCAGGGGTCAACGCCCTCGCTGCCCAGTCTGTGACCAGGCCTCGTGGTGGATCAGAGCCTGATCAACCAGGCTGTTACTGCTGGCTGCATGCAATCCAACGTACGAGCCACAGCCCGGCTGGTCAGGTACCGACTTTAGGTGCTTGTCCAGTGCCTGCTTGAAGACAGCTGGGAGGCAGTTGAATAGTCTTGGGCCCCTGACACTTATTGTGTTGTCTCTTAACGTGCTATTGACACCCCTGCTTTTCATTGGGGAGATGTTGCATCGTCTGCCGAGTCTTTTGCTTTCGTAGTGAGTAATTTTTGTGTGCAAGTTTGGTACTAGTCCCTCTAGGATTTTCCAGGTGTATATAATCATGTATCTCTCCTGCCTGTATTCCAGGGAGTACAGGTTCAGGAACTTCAAGCGCTCCCAGTAATTGAGGTGTTTTATCTCCATTATGCGTGCCGTGAAGGCTCTCTACATTTTCTAGGTCAGCAGTTTCACCTGCCTTGAAAGGTGCTGTTAGTGTGCAGCAATATTCCAGCCTAGATAGAACAAGCGACCTGAAGAGTGTCATCATGGGCTTGGCATCCTTAGTTTTGAAGGTTCTCATTATCCATCCTGTCATTTTTCTAGCAGATGTGATTGATACACTGTTATGGTCCTTGAAGGTGAGATCTTTGGACACGGTCACTCTCAGGTCTTTGACGTTGGTTTTTCGCTCTATTTTGTGGCTGGAATTTGTTTTGTACTCTGATGAAGTTTTAATTTCCTCATGTTACCATATCGGAGTAATTGAAATTTCTCATCGTTGAACTTCATATTGTTTTCTGCAGCCCATTGAAAGATTTGGTTGATGTCCACCTGGAGCCTTGCAGTGTCTGCAATGGAAGACGCTGTCATGCAGACTTGGGTGTCATTTGCAAAGGAAGACACAGTGCTGTGGCTGACATCCTTGTCTGTCAGATATGAGGATGAGAAACAAGATGGGAGAGAGTACTGTGCCTTGCGGAACAGAACTTTTCACCGTAGCCGCCTCAGACTTCACTCTGTTGACTACTACTCTTTGTGTTCTGTTTGTGAGGAAATTATAGATCCATCTACCAACTTTTCCTGTTATTCCTTTAGCACGCATTTTGTGTGCTATTGCGCCATGGTCACACTTGTCGAAGGCTTTTGCAAAGTCTGTATATATTACATCTGCATTCTTTTTGTCTTCTAGTACATCTAGGACCTTGTCGTAGTGATCCAGTAGTTGGGACAGACAGGAGCGACCTGCTCTAAACCCATGTTGCCCTGGGTTGTGTAATTGATGGGTGGCGATCTTGCTTCTTAGGACCCTTTCAAAGATTTTTATATGGGATGTTAGTGCCGTTGGTCTGTAGTTCTTTGCTATTGCTTTACTGCCACCTTTGCTGTATAGCCCTTGTGGCTTAGCGCTTCTTTTTGATTATAATAATAATTTACTGCCACCTTTGTGCAGTGGGGCTATGTCTGTTGTTTATAGTAACTGTGGGACGACCCCAGTGTCCATGCTCCCTCTCCATAGGATGTTAAAAGCTCGTGATAGGGGCTTCTTGCAGTTCTTGATGAACACGGAGTTCCATGAGTCTGGCCCTGGGGTAGAGTGCATGGGCATGTCATTTATCGCCTGTTCGAAGTCATTTGGCATCAGGATAACATCAGATAGGCTTGTGTTAACCAAATTCTGTGGCTCTCTCATAAAAAGTTCATTTAGATCTTCGACTCTCAGTCTGGTTAGTGGCTTGCTAAAAACCGAGTCTTTCATTGTACAATGCAAGTAAGGTTAATGGAACCCAACCTGATGACCCTGGAGGACAGGGCTAGAATACCTGGAGAGGGTTTGGTAGATCAACGTCCCTATGGCCCAGTCTGTGACCAGGAATAAACTATATGTAGGGATATTCGCATGTGATAATGAAAGGAACTGACAAAGTGAACAAGGACGTATTGTTTCAGAGATGGAAAATAGGAACAAGAGGACACAACTGGAAGTTGAAAACGGGGATGAGTCATACGGATGTCAGGAAGTATTTCTTCAGCCTTAGAGTTGTTAGGAAGTGGAACCATCTGGAGAGTGAAGTGATAGAGGCGGAGTACATACATAGCTTACAAATACAATACAATTTTTATATCGTTGCACCCCTCAAGGGAGGTTCCTTGACGCTGGTGAGGGGCTCTGATCTAGGGAATTGGATCTGTGCTCCGGTTCCCTGAATTGAGCCTGAATACCTTCTATCCCCCCACATGCGCTGTATTATCCTACGGGCTTAGCGCTCCCCGTGATAATAATTTCTTTGCGAAGGTTATAATGTGTGATTTACATTTTATAAAATGTTAATCACACATGCCTGAGCATTTCGGGCAGATTAATCGTAATGCTGACAGACTACTTAAAACTAGACATAGGTTATAAAGTGGTAAATTTTATTCATTATTTTACCTTATTTCTAAAGTGAGGTTCCTCATAGTCATTTCTGGCACAATTACTCATGACAGTAAGTCGACAGTTAGGTAGCCAAAAATTTTAAAGAGCAGGTAAAAGAAGGCCCTTGAAGCCTTATTTTACCTCCTGCTAGGTTAATTAACCTAGCAGCGACCAGGAGCTGTGATTCGACCCCTGTAACCACATGTAAGTGAATACACTGCAGCTGGCCCATGCTAGGAAGGTCCAACTAGCACCCACCCACACACACTACCCAACGTCCTTGGCTCAGTGACCTGCCATGGAGTTCCACTCATCTCTATGGCCACACCAGCACCTCCCAGTATCCTTTCTAAATCTTAATTTCTCCAACTTGAATTCCTTGCTTCGAGTTTTGTCTTGGTTAGATATTTTCAATACGCTATTTATATCCCCTTTATTTATTACTGTTTTGTATGAATAAACTTCATTGGCGAAACGTTGTCTTTATCCATCGTGTCGGCATTTTGTACCATTTCTCTTTAACAAAATGAATTTACAAAAATTTTAATAGGCCTACCTGGAAAGATAAGAATGAAATAAATTGCAGGGATTTTGTGTATAATTTGCCAGTATCTATTACCAAGGTTTATACTATACCTGCAAAATATACCTTGATTAAGTAAGTTTATTCAGGTATGACTCAAGAAATCGTAATGACACGGGCTGGAGTTTTGAGACCCTATGACCGCGGGTTCAATCCCGGCCGGGGGTATGGTTTATTCAGGTACATGTACACAATGCAGTTGCATAAATTATCATACATAGCAGCATATGTGAAGGTTACCTTGGTAACCCCCCAAAAAGTCAAAGTAACTTATTTCCATTGGGGTCCTTGATGCTGGTGATGGACTCTTGATCCATGAAATTAGAGCTGCCCTCCTTTTCCTTGGATCATTCCTTATTGCCTGTCATTCCCAAGGCGCTTTTTTTTACTCCTACGGGCTTAGTTCTTTCTCGTAAATATAATAAAAAACTGGAAATGTAAGTATTCAGTTTATTATAGATTAAGAAGATAAAATTCGATAATACTGGCTGGGTTTGATACTGTCCTGTAGTTATTAAACTGCAAGACTTCATTATTTTAAGGCTAGATTTAATAGGCCTAATATTCTTGAATTTTTATTTAAATAATACTAATATACAGTATGATGATAATGATAACATATTACTAAGAATGACGATAAGAAACAATAAATAATAATTACAATCAGTAACTTTGTTTATATAAAAATCTTAATATCAAATATTTTCAAGTCACAAAAAAAACTAAAGAAAATAACTCACAAATTGTTTCCATAAAGTGTCAGCGGGATATATAGTGACATGACACGACGATTCTCAATCAAATATAATATTTATGTAGAGGAAGTTTCAAATAATTGAATTTGTTTTTAAAAAAATGGCGGCGGGTAGGTCAGTGGTGGAGGAGCTGCCAGAAGCACCAGACATGAAGGTCAATGTGGCATCCAGCGGGGAGGAATTTCCTCACCACACCAGGTAATTATTATCACTTTCATAACGTGGAGTGCTTCAAAGAGCCACCCTAGTGCTAAAATCCTGCTGGGAGCAGAAATTTGGGTAAAGTGACTGAAAGAGACGTTGCCGGGCCACCCAGCTGATCGTGTCAACAAACTTGGCGCCCAAATCAGTCTCCATTGACTGACTGTGAAGGAAAAACCGATATTTTTCCGTGATTTTTTCTTGCCATGGAGCTGGTGCTGCCTTCAGGGTACGTGACTTTGTTGTACCTGATGCTGAGCATGCAAAATATATTAGGATATATGTTTTTTTGCTTGATTAAAGTCTGTGAATTGTTTTTATCTCCGTCTGGTTCATATTTCCCCTGAAGTGTGAAAATTTAGTTATGAATGTTTATTTAGGTTTAAATCTTTGACAGAGACACGCGAAGAATTTATATTGTTGTATTTATTTATGATTCTATAAGTGATTTATATATAACCCAACAAATACTAGACGCAAATACTAACTCCCTGTTGTGCCACAGGGTTGGATATTAGGACCCCTGTTGCTCACAATGTACACAAACTACATGGATGAGGGAATAGCACCATCAGTAAGTTTGATAAGACACTGAAATAGGTCGTCAGATCTTGTAGAGAATGCTAGAGCACTACAGGATGAACTGGATAGGTTGATGTTGGCATCGGAGAAGTGGCAGGTGCAGTTCAATGCAGACAGATTTCAAGTTCTGATCTTAGTTAAAGAAAGTAACTGTGGCACTTATAAGTGAAATAATGTGGGTCTTAGTCAGACTGCATGTGAAAAAGATTTAGTTCTGGTTTTCAGAAATTTAAAGTCATAACAACTGGAGAAAAATGGCATAAAGTACTGCCATTGATGGACAAAGAGAAATGCAGTAATCAGTCCTTTACTGTCAATAAAGCAGTGCATTATACTGCATTTGTGTGTGGGTTTTCTAAGACAGCAGTGCCTAATAGTTTTCTAAAACTATTTTTACTTTTTTCTTTGTTTCTTTTGTGTTTATCACTTGCTTTAAGTCAAGAATTTTTATTAACTTTATTCATTGTGGTTGAAAATTGGGAAAAAGGAATTAATGTACAATTGCTATGGATCCCATCACACATTGGATTACTCCTTCATGATAAAGTTGATATGTTAGCCAAGAAGAGTATCGAGAAGGAGAATGTAGAATATAACTTTGGTATAACTGTGTCTAGCATTAGGAATAATATTAGGAGAGAAGTAAATAATGAAAATGATTGTTATAGGAATGCAGTTAGAAGCCTGAGTAGATCTATAACCCACTATGATAACATGAACGTAGATAAGTATGTTTATGGAGCAACTTGCAATGTGAACAGACTGACTGATGTTGTAGTGGCCAGGCTTAGGCTTGGTTATAAGTACTTCTGGCAGTTTGGGAGACACACAGATGATCAAACTAAATGTAAATTATGTGATCAGGCATATGGTCATTCTCTTGAACACTATGTGCTTAATTGTCCACTTATTGAGGAATACAGAGACAGACAGTATAATAACCTATGTGACATGTCAAGATATCTTATTAATGAAAATAAGATACCAGATATACTAAGCAAATTTCCTAAATTTGCTTGTAACAGATAAGTGAACTATAGATATGTAGATATAAATCCATATGTATTCCTGTTAACCCTTTGGGGCCTAGTTCCTAGGCCTTTTGTGTATCCATATGCTCTCGCGCTACCGTCCACAGGATGGATATGGGGTGCACAATAAACTAGCCACTTTGGTGGCAAAATCTAAAAAATCTAATCTGGTTGAAAATTGGTTTTTAAAGTTAAATATAACTTTATTTTATCACTTTTTGAAATAATGAAATGATAGACATGCAGTGGTTACTGTAATATTGTTTGTATTCTCAGTTGATTGCATAACAGGCATGGAAGGTAACATAATGAAGTACATGATAAGAAGAGGATAAACCTCTTGTTTAGTAAACAGTTTGACTTTTGGTATAGTTCCTGCACTGTTTACCTAAGCTATTAAGAGATGAATCACAGAAATTATTCAAGAAAAATGGATGGGCAGTTTGTATTTTTGCTGATACTGATATGTATTAAGTTTAGACTGATACCAGTATCATCAAAATTATCTGATATTCCCCAATACTTTGGCACACCCCTACTTCAAAAAAAAGAGGAATAAAAGTTTAATTATTACATTAAATGAGAGACACTGAGAGGAATATGTGAATAATGATAAGTAGTAGTGTCCTTATGGGCAAAGGTTACCAGTGGGGTGTCACAAGGATCTGCACTTGTACCAATATTCTATTGTTTTAGATTTTTAACCCTTTCAGGGTTTCAGCCGTACTAGTACCGCTTATGTGCCAGGGTCCTTGATGTACTAGTACTCATAAATTCTAGCGCCTTCAAATCTAGTGAGAGAAAGCTGGTAGGCCTACATATGAAAGAATGGGTCTATGTGGTCAGTGTGCACAGTATAAAAAAAAATCCTGCAGCACACAGTGTGTAATGAGAAAAAAAAAACTTTGACCATGATTTTGGATTAAAACAGCGACTTTGCACTGTATTTTCGTATGGTATTTATTGTTGTATTCTAGTTTTCCTGGTCTCATTTGATAGAATGGAAGACATATTACAGAAATTGAGATGATTTTGACTGGTTTTACAATGAAAAGTACCTTGAAATTGAGCTCAAAGTAGCAGAAATGTTCGATTTTTACCAAAATTCAAAAGTAAACAAATAATGCTAAGTGTCCAATACACGTCAACTGGTGAGTCTAATACATGTACTCTTTCACAAGTGCACCTATATTATTTATACCATTTCTACACTAATGCAGTAGTTTGCATAACAGTAAATCTTCTATTTTTTGTGAGAACGAAAATACAAAATGGAAAGCAAAAGAATGTAAGAGGGGCGTGGGGACATGACTAATGGACAGAGGAAATGTTATTTTAGTGCCAGGAATATCTTTCTTGTTTATTCTGGACCCTATTTGGAAATTGGCATCTTTTGAAATTTGTGTAAAATTGGCAAAATTGCTAAATTCTGACCACTGTATTGGATAGTTGAAATCGGTAAATGGGTGGTTTCTTGTACTCATTCGATAGGAAAAATGGAGTTCTAGCGAAATAGGTATGATTTTTGTCGACTAGTACACTGGAATTGGCTGAAAATAGGGCTCAAAGTGGGCAAAATCGCCGATGCGTAAACATTGTCGAGACTGCTAAATTTGTGAGAGCATAATTCTGTAAGTTTTCCATCAAATATCATACTTTCGGTGTCATTATGATTGGGAAAAGGTTCTCTATCTTTTCATAAGATTTTTTTTTTTTTTTTTTTTAAATTGGGGGACCCTGAGAACAAGTCTCTGAGAGGGCGTGTGGACCCTGAAAGGGTTAAGAGTTACTTGCCAAAAAGAATAGAAAGGTATATGAATTTGTTTGCAAATGATACAAAAATCTCGTCCAAAATAAACATGACTAAATCTTTACAAGATGACTTTGTTGAGCATATGGAGTGATAAAATGTAATGTTGATAAATGAGTTTTAAATGTGCTACTTATAAATTATCTTTTATAAATTCACAAGCTTTCTTTATAATACCTCACACATTTCCTCTTCCCCTTCAGTGATTGTTATCCTTAATTACTTGCACTGTCTCTTAAACATTTGTACACATTATCTAACTTGAATGAAAGATTTAGTATCATTTTTGCTTTTGTCTATTTTCTTTCCAAAGTTTCTTTCTCCCTCCTCTCATTTGCATTTTCTTTATTGCTTTCCCTGCCTGGTGAGAGATAGCTGATGAGCTAATAATTTTTATTTTACATCCTGATTTGATTTTTTTGTAAATTATTTGCATTAACTGAATTTTATAAAAAACTTTATTTTTTACAGAAAGCGCAGTTATGATAAAGAGAATAGCAATAATAATATGAAGTGCACAAGGTGGAGTTTGGGTGGTGATGTTGGCACCAATCCTCCACTCCTTGCAGACATGGGACTTTCAATCCTACAGGATGAAGAGGCTGCTGGGGTACCCACACCTACTCCCCCAACAACAGAAGTTAATGTAGACAACCCACCTCCACCTCCAAAGGTATGTTCAAAACATGCTTATGAGCGTAAATTAATGAATATGTATACATATGTACAGTATAAATATATATACATGTACACAGCAATGGATAAAATTTATTCTCAAAGCTGAATGACCTTATGGTTTTACCTCTCTTTTATGAATTCGCTATACAGTTTATTACATTGCAATATTGTAATTACATGTATTTAGAAATTCAGTAGATGGGGTTATGAATATGCTTACACACGCGCGCACACACACACACATGCACAGGCGCACACACAGGTGCGCACACAGGTGCACACAGGCGTGCACACACAGGCGCACACACAGGGACACACGCGCACACACAGGCACACACACACAGGCGCACACACACAGGCGCACACACAGGCACACACACAGGCACACACACAGGCACACACACAGCCACACACACAGGCACACAGAGGTGCACACAGAGGTGCGCACAGAGGCGCACAGAGGCACACACAGGCACACACACAGGCGCACACACACAAGGCACACACACAGGCGCACACACACACAGGCACACACACACACAGGCACACACAGCACACACACACACACACACACACACACAACACACACACACACACACACACACACACACACACACACACACACACACACACCACACACACACACACACACACACACACACACACACACACACACACACACACACACAGGCACACACACACACAGGCACACACACACACAGGCACACACACACACAGGCACACACACACACAGAGGCACACACACACACACACACAGAGGCACACACACACACACACAGAGGCACACACACACACACACACAGAGGCACACACACACACACACACACACACACACACACACACACACACACACACACACACACACACACACACACACAGGCACACACACAGGCACACATGTATTGTACCACAAATATTGATACCAGTGTTGAGCATGGTTTGTATAGACCGATTGGACAATCAACCTTGCCGTGCTGAGAGAATGATTAGCTTGGTACCTGATGTGGTAGGTAGTTGAGCAAATACAGTAAAGGCACAGCTAACTGGAAGGTGGTTTATTGGATATGGGGGTTACACCAGGCAGAGAGAGTGTAGAGGTACCCAGTGCCAGGTTCCTAGGAGAGGGGAACTGTGGATGGAGCGATGGTCAGCCAAGGAATGAGAACAGACTAAGGACATATGTCCTGAGCTTCGGGTGACATGGGGTCACAAAGCATAAAAGCACGGGAGTCGTACCTTGGTGAGAAATACAAAATGCAACAGGGAGGGAGCCTGCCTACACATGCACATGCACACACATAGGCATGCACACTTGCATGGGTGCACACACACACATGTACATACATAAATATCAGTTGAATAACCTCTGCAGCCAGTACTCATCTTGCAGATTTTAAGAGCAGTCTTTATGAATCTCAACAAAGTCATTTCAAGCCCTCTATACAGCATACATTAAGTCCCTGGAGTATGGAACCTGCACATGAAAAAACATGTAAAGAAAGTGGAGAAAGTGCAGAAGTATGCAGCAAGGCTTGTTACTGAGCTAAGGGGAATGAACAACGAGGAGAAGCTATTGTAATTAGACCTAACAACATTGGAGGACAGAAGAACCAGGGAGACATAACATACAAAATTCTCAGGGAAATTGATAAGGTAGACAGGAATAGGCTGTTTGAAAGGCAAGAAATGAGAACTTTGGGACACCATTGGAAGTTAAAAGCACGCATGAGCTATGGAGATGTTACAACTTATTTATTGTCTCAGAGTGGTCAGGAAGTGGATTGATCTTGATGAAGTGATGCAGGCAGGCTCCATACATAGTTTTAAGAGCAGGTACAATAGTGCCTGCAGGGCTAAGAGGGAGTGAATCTGAAGAGTGGCAAGGTAGAGGTAGGGCTGGGATCTGAGAATTGACCCCTGCAACCACAAATAGGTGAGTACATAAATGCACAAGACATACTAAAAACAAGTATGTTTCCATATAAGATATAAATACTGTAAAACCTAAATGCAACTCTAATAAGCTTGAAAAATTGTCATATTTTATTGTATATAATTTCTTACCATTAAAATTAATCTTTGTTGCAGGTATTACAGCAGTCTAACCAGAATATAATAAGCAATGGGTCCTTTTTTTCGGATGATTCTGTAAATGAAGAAGAATTTTTTGTGTATAAACGTAGAAGACTAGATGCTATTGCTGGGGGTGGTGAGTATATAGTCACAGCATATTTAATGATTTTTTGTGATAATGTATAACAAATATGTACTACATACTGGTAATACAATGCATTCCCTGCATAAACTCAGTAAGTTCCACTATGACTGAAAATACATTCTTGTTTCATTCTACTTCATTTCATTCCTTTTATTTAAATGGTGGAGACATTGAAGGTAAATGTACCTTGAAAATCATGACATTGTCAACCTTTTCTGAGCAGAAAATTCTGAGACGGCTGACACTCGGGGAATGGCCATTTAGCTCAGCTCCCAACCAGTAGGAGTGCAGGATTTGCACACACACACCTCAGCCACCATCCATTTACAAGGGTTTTTAAAATTGGTGCTTAATGAGTTTGTGCAGTAAGCACTTTTTTTTATTTTTATTCCTATATTTCTTGTTTCCCCATATGCTTTATTAATCATTTACCCTGTTGCATGATGTGTGAATATTTTTTTCTTTCCAGATAAATTTAATCGCATGTCTGATGAGTTGATATTAGCAGTTTTTCGTTGGCTTCCAAAATTCATGTTAGCTAGATGTGCTCAAGTAAGCAGACGTTGGAAGAGACTAGCTTTTGATGAGACACTGTGGCGAAGACTTGATCTTGGAGGCAAGACACTTAAACCAGGAGTTGTGGGTCGAGTCATTCTCAGAGGGTCAAATATTCTTAGACTTGCAAAGGCTGAGGTAAACAAAAACTTGGATTTGCATAACACACATACTGAAACATTATTTTCAAACTTTTTACCATTTCTGAGCATATGACTACTGAAGATGTCATGCAGAATTAGCAAGTTATTGAAGATAACATAAAATACTTTTTTTATATATAATTTTTGTGCATTGATACATTTTTAAGAATTAGGGTTATAAAATTTTTTCACCAAAAATAATAAGGCTAATTTACCTGATTTTACTAAAATTATATAGTACAGCCTCTCCTCACTTAACAATGTACTAGTTGTTTACCTACGACTCTGACTTCAATGGTCTCTCTGACCAGTATGCATACCTAAATAATGTGTATTAGAGCTGATTTCCTCTATTCTATTTATTACAGTATACATTACACTACTGTATAAACATTTAAAAATATACTAAAAATTTTATAAATGGTGCAAAGGTTACACAAACCAACTACCATTATAGTATGCTTCTCACTTAGTGGCGAATTTGTTTACCGACGTAGTGTTAGGAATGGAACTCCATCATTAAGTGAGGAGAGGCTGTATTGTACAATGTATATAGCTTAATTGTACTCAACCTGTCTAAAGTTAGCCTATAATTAATGAGAATTGCTTGACATTAATGAAACATAATTTGAAATGTGAAGAATATTTTGAGAATTTACACTGCACTTATTTGGCAAAACTGCTAGCTGACTTAATCAAATAGGTATCTTCTTGCTGTAAAGGACAACAGAGACACTTTGATTACATTTACCTCTTTCCTTTTTTTTTATTTGATTCTGTATATGTATAGATATTGGGAGCAAGGGGCTAGTAATCCTTTCTCTATACATTACTAAAGTTAAAAAGAGAAACTTACATTTTTCTTTTTGGGCCACACTGCTTCGGTGGGATATGGCCAGTTTGTTGAAAGATGATGTATGGATGCACAGTGTGTTTTAATATACGTGTGTATATATAAAAAGCATAAAAGCACGTGAGTCATACCTTATCTGGAGAGTTTATCTGGAGAGAGTTCCGGGGGTCAACGCCCCCGCGGCCCGGTCTATGACCAGGCCTCCTTAGGTCAGTGTCCCAGGATGCGACCCACACCAGTCGACTAACACCCAGGTACCCATTTTACTGATGGGGAACATAGACAACAGGTGGAAGGAAACACGTCCAATGTTTCTACTCTGGCTGGGAATCGAACCCAGGCCCTCACCGTGTGAAGCGAGAGCGTTAACCACCAGGCCAGCAGAGCCCGGTGAGAAATACAAAATGCAACAGGGAAGGAGCCTGCCTACACATGCACATGCACACACATACACATGCACACTTGCATGGGTGCACACACAATGTACATACATAAATAAATATATATATATATAAATATATAAATATATATATAAATATATATATAAATATATAAATATATATATAAATATATAAATATATATATAAATATATATATATATTCTTTCTTTCTTTCAACACACCGGCTGTATCCCACCGAGGCGGGTGGCCCAAAAGGAAAAACGAAAGTTTCTCCTTTTGCATTTAGTAATATATACAGGAGAAGAGGTTACTAGCCCCTTGCTCCCGGCATTTTAGTCGCCTCCTACAACACGCATGGCTTATGGAGGAAGAATTCTGTTCCACTTCCCCATGGAGGTAAGAGGAAATAAACAAGAAAAGAACTAGAAAGAAAAAGAAAAAAACCCCAAAAGGGGTGTGATTTATGCTTGTACAGTTTGTATGTGACCTAAGTGTAATAAAGTAGCAAGATATTTCCTAAAACTTTCATTGAAGAGACAGAAAAAAAAAAAACACCAGCAAACCACCATCGTTAAAACAGTTTCAGGGTTCAGTTTTTTCATTCCTTTAAAGGGCGTAGTACCTCCCTGGGCGGTTCTGTCTACCAACCTACTACCTAGATATATATAATATATTATATATTATATTATATATATAATATATAATATATTTTTAAAAATAATTTTTATATATATATATTTATATATAATATTAATTAAAATAATAAAAATATATATATATATATTAATATATAATTTTTTATAAATATATATAAATATAATATTATATATATATATTAATATTGTAGGTATAGGTTGGTAACAGCAACCACCCAGGGAGGTACTACCGTCCCGCCCAAATGATGTAAACGAAAAACCTGTGATTGTTTTAATGGGTAGGATTGGATGTCTTTTGTCTGTCTCATAAAAACAAGATTACAGGCATGTCTTGCTACTTCACTTACAATGGTCCCTACCTCATGTACACATTTTTTTTTACACACTCTCTTAGTTTTTTTTTGATTTTACTTAATTTCTTGGGCTTATTAAATTTTCCTTTTTATCCAGGGGAAGTGGAATAAGAATCTTTCCTCCCTAAGCCAGCGTGTTGTAAAAGTCAACTAAAAAAGCCGGGAAAAATGGGCTAGTAACCCCCCTTTTCCCGAAAAAATTACAAAAAAAAATAAAAAGAAAAAATTGCAAAGTGGGGAAATCTGAAAGTGCGTGGATTTGTGCAGATGATAAAAAGAGATGATTGTGGATTTTTGAAAGAGAAAAAACTGGATGTCCTGGGTTTAAGTGAAACAAAGCTGAAAGGGGGGGGGAGAGTTTCGTGGGGAGGAAAAAATGGGTTGGGCAGGGGTTTTTTAAATAGGTTAGAAACTAAAGAAGGAGTAGCAAAAATGTTGAAGGGTAACTATGGCAGGAAAAAGGGGGTATAAATGTATTAATTCAAGGATTTTGGAGAAAATAAAGATTGGATGTGAAAAAATGGGTTATAAAAAAGCGTGTATGCACCTGGGGGAAAAGAGAAGTGTAGAGGAGGAAAAGAGATTTTGGGGAAAAGTTGAGTGAATGCGTGGGGGAGTTTTGAATCAAATGTGAGAGTAATGGTGGTTTGGGGGTTTCAAAGCTAAAGGGGTAAAAATGTTTTTGGAGGGGTAGTAGTAAATTTGGGGGGCCAGGGGTAAAAGTAAATGGGGAGCCTTTTAAATTTACTATGTGTAAAAGAAATTTGGGAAAAAGTAATACAATTTTTTAAAAAAGGGGGTAAAAAATATACAAGGGTTTATGTAGCACGTAATGAAAGTA